CTAGTGCCTACTTACCAGTTAGTCTTCAACTTATTTTCTCCCATTGATCTCAATTACCAAAGCAAAAAAATATTTCCCCCATCATGTTGTGCTTGCTAAATAACCCCACAATCCTACTAATATTTCCCTGTCTTCCCTCACCTTTATATCATGCCCAAAATTAGCCTGTTAATATTGTCTTTTATTGTTTTGGGAGACAATTAGACCCTTTTGGGGCACTGTTAAAACAACTCTTAAAAATACCTTAGGATATATCCTTTCTTACAGAAAAGTCTAAGAGTACAAAGACAAAACAATAATTTGCCACACAAGTTAGCAACATAAGAGAAAGCAAACAATGCTGTTATAGGTCAAGGCTTGAAAACATGGCTAGATCTCATCACCCGAGAACAAGCCAGGACTAGAGAGATAAATAAAACCTTAGAGATAAATATAACTGGTGAAAAAATTCTGAAGAGTCTTGTGGCCATAACTGCTTTTCATTCTAAATGTCCTCAGGATGCTGTTTCAGTGCCTCTAATTGTATTGCTATGAATCAAAGGACCCAGCTTAGTATAATACATATTGCTTAATATGAAGAATCCTAAAAAGCTTCAGATACTATGCATCTTTCCCTGTTCCATAGGTTTTGGAGCAGATGTTACATTTTAAGCGCTTCAAAGACCTTTGAAGCGCTTCAAAGGGCAAGCCAGACAGATGTGCATGCCCTTTGTAGTACTCCAAAACTGACCCTGAAAGAAACTGCTACTATTTATGAACACTTCAAAATGAACTGCTTCCTGTTGCATATGCTCTACACAGTGTAACACGGGACCACAGAATCCACCAGCACACCAAATACACCATCTCCGTGGGGGAGAGCAGGTCACAATGTCAATGAGTGCTCTTCTATGCACTCTGTCTCTACTCTCCAGAGCACCACCACCTCCCCAAAATGGGAGGCCATAACTGGAGTGGAGCCAAACAGGAGGTCGCCAGAGCCCCATAGTGTGCCCACTGGATGAAGAACATGCAGCTACATGCAGCTGAAGCAATGCTGAAGTACTACAGCAAGTGGGTACAGCAGAGGCTGCATGTCTATTCATGGCTGAAATGCTCCAAATGTTATGTCCATCCCCACCCCTAAACTTCAAATGAGGAAGTGTACAGATGCCATGAGGACACCTGAGTGTACTCACAAATAGATAACACATTTTCTGTCAGTAATTCTACAAAACAGAACTGATGTTTGGGCTACTAGCAAGCAAAAACAAATCAAAATGCCTTTGTGTGTCTGAAGTAGAGCTGTGTACCTCTGCTGTTGCATCTGCAGAACGACTGCATAGAAGCATGAGTTAACTTCGACTCCTAGCTTCTGAGCTATCCCATGATAGAATATTAGACTAAGCAGTACAGTTGACACCTTTATTTAATTGTCCTCCCATTGCATGGTCTCCATTGGTAATGTGTTTTTCTTCTATTTCATGCTCTAGCAGTGATAGTGAATGCTGATGAAAATACTTAGTCCAAGGATTAGTTCTTTTTACATAGGATCAAACAGTTTCTTTGCAGAGGAACATCTTACTCTTACCAGATAAACTGTGTTTACTGTTTTCTTACAGAGGTTTCCTTTATATCCAGTATCAAATGCTGGTTAGTTGCTTCAGGACTGTCGTGAACACACTATTCAAAGTACTTTAACACAACCAAGAGCAAAATCCAGGCTGGTCCTCCAGGCGCCTCTACCTTAACATAATAACACCTAACAATTAGGTACCCGGCTTTGGGAGAATAATTCAAAGAACCGAGTTGGGAGCCTAGGCTCCCTATCCAGAGAACAGGAGGAAACAGGCCCCCACAAAGGGTAGTTCAAAGAGTCAAGAGGGACCCAAACTGATCTATAGGGATCCTGGTTTTCTCCGATTAAAAAAACCCCCAAAACTCCCCAATTTTTGGATTAAAAAACTAACCCCAAATCCACATTTTTCCATGATTTGAAACACCACAAATATATAAATATATGTATAGTTGCATTTCATTTTAATCATGGAAAAATGTGGATTTTGGGTTACTTTTTTTAAACTGAAAATTGTGAACTCTTTTTCATCAGAGATAACCAGGATTCCTGCTGATCAATAAGAAATATGAGGCAGAGATATGTCTGAATTCCCATCCTCCTACAGAGCCGAGGCACCAAATTCAGGTGCATGCAAGGAACCATTGTCTACTCAGGATCCAGAGTACCTAAATCCTTCTTCTGAGGGGCACTCACCTTTTGTTTATTAGTCTGGTGGCTAGAGAACTTAATCAGGAATTTGTCCCCCTCAACCTGGGAGGTTCAAACCCACATCTCCCACTTCCTAGGAGAGTGAACTAACTACCAGACAATAGCACAAACTAAGTGTTCGCACCTTGCATAGGAAGTGAAAGGAATGGATAAGTCCTAGGGACAGGAGAAGCAGCCTGGGGTAGTTCCGGGTTATGGTCCCCACTCCTAAAAGAGTTTATAGATTTTCTGAATTTTATGTTAGACAGTCATTAGTCAAAAAACAGAAATAACATTGCCAGTGGGGACCAGACTTCAAGTGTCCTTACCCCAGCTGAGTGCCCTAGCCACTATGCTACATCGTCCAGCCCCTCCCTTGTTTACCCTCATCCTAGCCCCCTGACTCTTGAATTGTTGGGAGCACAGTGGTAAGACAGCTTCTTCAATAGGAGGTATGGAGAGGGTCCTCCACCCAGAGTATTTTGTAGCATGGTGGCTAAGGAACTCTCCAGGGAAAGTGGGAGATGTGGGTTTGAATTCTCTAGGTTGAAAAGGGTCAAAACCCCAGGTCTCCCACTTATTAGGTCAGGGGTTGACAACCTTGTCACCATTGGGTGCTGCTTGCAATCCAGCCCCAACTGACAGCTGCACCCTACTTGTTTCTGGAGCTCAGCAGATGCTGTGAAGGGAACAGAAAGATAAGATATAGGCACTAGGACCCTGGGGATGCCACCTCTGCTGTAGCAAAAACAATAAACTGAACAGGGCAGGCAACAGGACCTGGGCGTGCCTCCTCTGCTGCTGGGACCACAGCATGTTGCCAATTTCCTGAGCTACCGTAGCCTGGATCCATTGTCTTTGTGGGCTGGAACCAACTCACAAAGACACTGGTGAATGGTCTAATCACTAGACTGTTATGTACCCCTACTCCCACCTTACTTGAGTTTGTGTCTGAGTGAAAGTAACTGTGGCATCCTGAACTCAATACTCTCAGGGTAGAAACAGATGTTACCTTATGTTGCATTTGTGCCATCATAAAAAATTATGCCACACAAACAGCAAGTAAACAGATGTCCCTACCCTTTGTTGCACCACATCACAAAAGAGAGTGTTAAATAGTGCTGCTCTAGTGCAGCAGGCGTCTATTTGCCATAGTGGGAAAGTGTGGACAGTTCCTGGCTGCCTGCACTCTCTAGCCACCACAGGCAGGTGCTTCAGGGTATTGAGGGGCCCATGAATTCCCATAAGGTTTCCCTGTTTAGAGATAAGCCCTTGGTAATCTTGGGGTGCCTCTCTAAGTGGGAAAAGCCAGGGTTCCCCACTTTAGCAGACTTGCCCCAGGATCTTCAGGGCCATGTCTCTATAATGGGGGGGAAGCCTGTGAGGGTGCTGGCATGGGACCTGGGGACTCCCCAGTACCCCATACCCTCACACCAAGACCCATGCTGACTCCATACCCTTCACGTGAAGCATGGGTTGGTTTGGGACCCAGTGCAGAGGCACAGGGGACCATGAATTCCTGGCGTGCACCATCTTGTGCCTCCATGCCACAATCTGCACTGACCCATGCCTCCGTGTGAGGCAAGGGCTGGCAAAGAAGCAAGCAATGGGCTTCAGAAAGCACGTGTGGGCAACGAGGAATGTGGGGAAGCCTTGGGCAAGGGGAACATGTTGCCTGTTGTCCTGTGTCAGATGTTATGCAGGACAACAGGTGACATGTGTTTTGTCCAATAAAATGGTTCAATTGTGGCAGGAGGTATCTCGCCACAGATCTGCTTTATTTGGGGACATCTCTTTTTACCCTCAGCATATTAAGCACACACAAAGCATGCCTAACAACAGGCTTCTCCAGGGAGTGCAGCAGATTATATATTTCTCCTGCTTCCATTCTAGACTGCAATGGAGCTTAGATGCTTAAATCCAGCCTAACTGGTCAAACTGGACTGCTTCTGAACATGTGCAGAAACCCAAGTGTAGGTGCTTAGGGAGCTTTACAATCCAAGAAAAGAGGCACCTAATGGGTATGTCCAGATGTGTGCTGACATTTGGTTCCCAGGGGACAACTAGCAGTGGTGCGCCTTGCGCCACAGCTACTTCTTGCCAGGGAACACCCGCACCACACACGCTTTGGCGCATGGCAAGTTACCCCGGGGCAGTAGGGGAGGCTGGGGCCAGCACTGTGTTTGCTCCAGCAGCCTTACCTGGCGTCCTGGGGGCCTCCCAGGGCTGCAGCCACAGTGATCCTGCTGGGTGGAGCCTGGCCAGCAGCCGTAGTGCAGCTCCAGATGGCCCAGCTCTGCTTTTCAGCAGCACATGCTGCCCAAGTGTGCACTGCTTCATTTTTTCCCATGGTTTTTTTTTGACCCCTAGATATCCAGAACCCCCCCCCAAAAAATGGAACAGTGCACGCTCAGGCAGCGCACTTTTGCAGTGCAGAGAATGCCAGACTGTGCAGTATGTGGCATTGCAGATGTGTGCAGTGCCACATACTACATGACTGTCCTTGTCTGAATGCACCCACCAAGTTCTGTGACAGCTGCAGTAGGATTATTCTGAATCACTCTTTGGGGACTTACACCAGTTCTACCAAAGCCTTGTTAAAAGCACCTAGCTGACCATGCTAGATCTGGCCCTAAGTAACTTGCCAGACTCTCCAAAAGGTATTAATTCTGAACTCTGCTCTTACACTCCAATGCCTTCCTCCCACTATTTCATTATTAAATGAAAAACAATTAGAAAACTTGCTTTTACATACCTTGTATTTCTGAGATTTCCCCAATACATTTGCCAAAGAAAACATAAGAGAATGATCATTAGGTATCAATTCCAGGGCCTCTCTTCCAACCGCTTCTGCTTGTGCTAAATTGCCTGGGAGTACATAGTAGAGGAGGGTGGGGGTGAATGAAAGGAATGGGAGAAGGTAAACAAAGAGAGAAGGCCACTTTTAATATTACTTTGGTTCCTTTTGCTACTTTTCATATTGTACAGTATAAATAATGCTGAATGTGCAACATTTCCAAAGTAAAGCAGGTGCCGCATTCAGATGTAAAGCCCCATACTATATACTTACTGCTGATAAGATAGTTTGGCATACAGCACGATTTAAAAGAAAACCATTACAGTATTTTCAATGTGTAACACTTCCACTGAAAGCATACAGCTAATTTCTCCTGTTTAAAGGGGGAGGCTGAATGTCAGCTCTGTATCACAAACAGGTTTACGTAATGACTGTGATTCAAAGGTGGAACAACAATGCAATTTACAGGCTTGATGCTAAGTGGCACCTAATTTATTTTGCAGAAGGAGTAAAGCCCCCAGTTGCCATTACTATGGTATCAAACTTTAGATATGTAGGCACCAACTAGATATCTATGTGCTACCAGCTGATCCCACATGCAAATGTGTGCCTGCAGGATTAGAGGCCAGGTTGAAAAAATGAATATCCAATTAGTATCACACTGTGAAATAGAAAAGTAGAACTAGAAAGGACCTTGGGAGGTCATCTAGTCCAATCCCCTGCTCAAGGCAGGATCATCCCTCTCTAAACCATCCTAAACAAGCATGTCTAACCTGTTTCAAAAAACTCCAGAAACGAACCTCATATACAGCTACCAGATCTGATGCCTGAAACATCAAAAACACCATCTGAATTTGCCAAAGGTAAAGCAGGGGAACAAGGAAGTTGCCAATGTCCTGCCACTGCAGGAAATTGGCATATTTATTTAAATATGCTCAACAGACCCAATGATGGGGAATTTTGCCTTCCTGTGGAAGGCAAAAATCCCCATGGTCCAGGCAAAACTGACCATGGGGTAAAATTTGTTCCTGATCCTAAATGTGGTAATCAGCCTGACCCTGAAGGAAGAAAGAGGATCCTTGAAGCCAGTGATTCCTACAGGGTGTACTGTGGCACACCAGTTTATTGCAAGAGTGGAGACGATGTGTCACAAAAAATGTTATTTTATGAGGTTTGGCCTGCAGAGCTCCTCACAGGTCTGGTATTCTGGTGGTGGAGGCTGGTGGCAATTAATACTGCCATCGCCCCTCTGCCACCAAATGTCCAAGCTCCACAAAGCTGAATCAGGCCCCAGCTGGACCCACCTCTCAAGAACAGATCAGGCTCTGGCTGCACCTGTCCTGCATGGAGGGATGGGCCCTGACTGGGTCAGTAGTGCGTGCAGAATTGGGCCCATGGGTCAAATCTGGCCTGTGGGCTGACCTGGCACCACTCGTCTGGCCCACAGGGCCTAAAGTTCAGGCACCACTGTTTAATTTTTATATTACACACACACATACACACACTGCTTGTAGATGTTAAAAAACAAACAAACCCCCAAAACTGCACTTTACTTTAAACTCGGTGCATTCTCACATGGAGACCCATGCTTGCCAGAAAGAGGCAGCACCTTAGTTATACCCAGTTCTCCCAACATCTGTATGGGTCGGGCACTTTAGTGGGGTGTTTTTGGTGCTTTTATCTAATAGCTGATTGTATCACCTTTAGCTAAAAGTGCCCCAAAGCCCTGATGAAGTGCCCGATCTATACAGATGCTGCAGAAGCGGTAAAACTAACGTGCTGCTTCTTCCAGTAAAGTGTGTGGGGGGGTTGTTTGTTTTTTTTAATGTCTACAAGCAGCCACACACACACATTTTATACACACACACACACCTTTCTCAGGTATAAGAGTTTGAAGTAGGTTGCAAATTTTTATCCAAAAAAAGTGCGCCCTAGGCATCAAAAGTTTGGGAAACACTGCTTTAAGCAGAAACCTCAGGGTTTTATTTTAAGTCCTGACAAAAGCATTAGCACACCCTAGTCAAAATCCCATGCTTTGGCTGCAGCTAATGCTTCTAAAAGACTAACCCCCTCCCTGACCCAATAGCATCATGAAGGGAAAGAATTCCTACCTGACTCTGTTACTGTCAAAGCCCAGAAGGATAAAATAACCAGACATCCTCTATTCTGCACTGCAACCTAACTGGGGAGCCAGATTTCCCTTTTTTATCATCCTATACTATATGTAAAATTGTCCCAGTTTTTTAATCCATTACATGATCCTCCCCAACTTTCACCTGTTCTGAGCTGCACAGTTGATTCCAGCCTGAAGTTAATTCTAAAATAGAACTACATTTGCATTTTTTCCTTTCTATATTCATTTGTATCTTTCAAAGAGGAGGAACACATTTTTAATGGGAGGAATCCAGAGTTCAGCAGTCTTGGAAAGTAAAGAGGAAGCAATAATATACACCTGCTTCTAAACTGTACGTCAAAGGTATAAATGTAGCCTCAAGATTTGTGCAAAGTGTTAAATGATTCTTTAAAGTTATCCATATACAGTACCTGTATTGTCAAGCAATATGATCATGTTGTTCCAGGCCAAACTGTGTTCTGGTTTCAAAACTGTAGCATTTCTCCAGGCATTCAGTGCATCTACATGGCGATTCAAATCTGCATACTAGGGAAAAAATTACAATAATTACTACCATTTTTTTTCTATCACACAATTGATGCTAAAAATATTCTAGAGTTACTCATTAGTCTTATTCAACTTTCCCTGTGTTCCTTCAATAAAACAAGACTAAAACACAACCCCTTGAAATATGAGAATACTGTATCAGAGGGTAGGTGAGGTTGCATTAAAGAAGATGATTTTAAAAAAGCATTTAAGAAATCATTACACATACATATCAATTATATACACACACATAATTTGTGTTATATATAATATGTAAGT